ACAAAATATCTTCATGGAACATGATCTTTACTTAATATCCTAATGATTTTTGGCATAAAAGAGAAATGTATAATTGTGACCCATACAATGTATTGTTGGCTATTGCTACAAATATACCCCAGCGACTTAACACTGCTTCTGTGCTGCAGGGTCACGAATACTGATTTATTCATTAATGTGTAATATGTTATATTTTTAAACAAATTATGAGCTCTAAAAGATTTTCAGAATTTTTACAACTCCAGTCCAACTTTGCTTTAGAACATCTACAAATGTTAAATCTTAAAATAAAATGTTAAGGTTACTACTGCATCTTTCTGGGGGGGAAAAATGCAGCGATTGATATATAGTTTATTTAAAAGAACTTCTTTGTTTATTTAATTCTGACAAATAAGCTCTTGTTAAAAACTAATCAAAATTAAAACTAATTTGCTTATAATTGCCACACAGGAGAGACTTGGTGTCGTTTCCAAGCAAAAGGAAATATATCGGTATCGGCAAAATATCGGCATATACCGGGACAATCCAATATCGTGCATCCCTAATGATTAGTGTTTGAGCTGAAGACATGCTGTCCTTCAGGAGCGAGTGCAGCTGGAGGAGCAGCGTCTGAAGGTGGAGGAGGTGAAGAAGAGGTGTGAGGAGATGGAGAAACAGATTCCCTCGCAGCCAGAAGACCAGCGAGAGCAGATGCTGCTTCAGCTGCAACAGGTGAACACAAACACTGCTGTTCACAGTTTAATGAGGCAGTCATTAGGTGATTCATTTCGTCTGAAACATTGAGTGGCCTGTCATATCGACCAGTGACAGATGAGAGGAGTGTAGTTTTGAAGTTATCAGTCTCATATACACTCATATATACACTCCCAGTCAAATTTTTGAACAGTAAGATTTTTAATGTTATTTAAATTTAAAGAAGTCTGTTCTGCTCACCAAGCCTGCATTTATTTGATCCAGAGCACAGCAAAAGCAGTAATATTGTGAAATATTTTTACTATTTAAAATAACTACTTTCTATTTCTAATTTTAAAATATAATTTATTCCTGTGATTTCAAAGCAGAGCTTTAGCATCATTACTCCAGTCACACGATCCATCAGAAATCACTCTAATATTCTGATTCGCTGCTAAAAAAAACACTTATTATTATTATGTTGAAAACAGCTGAGTGGATTTTTTCAGGTTTCTTTGATAAATAGAAAGTTCAGAAGAACAGCATTTATCTGAAATAGAAATCTTTTTTTTACATTATAAATGTCTTTATCATCACTTTTGATCAATTTAAAGCATCCTTGCTAAATAAAAGTATTTATAAAAAACTAATAATAAATTATACTCACTCTAGTTTACTATAGTGGAAAATGTTACAAAAGCTTTTTATTTCAGATAAATGTTGATCTTTGGATCTTTGTATTCATCAAAAAATCCTGAAAAAATCTACCCAACTGTTTTAAATATTGATGATGATAATAATAATAATCAGAAATGTTTCTCGAGCAGCATATTATACTGATTTCTGAAGATCATGTGACACTGAAGACTGGAGGAATGATGCTGAAAATACAGCTGCGCATCACAGAAATACATTACAGTTTAACACATATTCACACAGAAAACAACTATTTTAAATGTTAATAATATTACTGTTTTTACTGTATGTAACAAATATTCCCAACCCCAAACTTTTCTGTGTATACATAGAAATGTATTTACATTTTTAATAATAATAATTATGTTTTTAAATCTGCCTTTCAAATTTATTTACATTTTTTATGTTTTATTTTGCTGAAATAAAAGCATGAAAATCTCTATGGACAGATCAGTGCTGCTTGCACTGTCGTGAACAGTGAAACAAATGTAATAATGAAAACTAATGTAATAATCTGTTTGGTTTCCAGGAGAAGGATGCGCTGGAGGTCAAAGTGCGAGCATTTGAAGACATGGAGTTCCACATTCTGGAGCTGGAGAGCGGAGTGGAAGACGAGCGAGACGGAGAGGACGGAGAAAGAGAAACGATCATCGGAAGAGAGATAACCAGAGTACAGCACACACGCAACGCTTCTCAGGTGAGAGGAAACACTGAACAAACAGTCCAGTTTAACTACAGACAAGATCATTTACATGTTTTACACGCCTGTCTAGTAGGATTTGTTGAACTGACTTCACTTTATTTGCTTAAAAGTCTGTTTATTAGTAAATGAGCACATCACTCTACTTTATACACACACATCTGTCCAAATCGCAGTCGTGAAATTATACTGTAAGTCTGACTTCAAGTGTCAGTTTGTTGCAGAATCTTGAAAATTCTGACTTTCTACTAAATGGAATTTAGTGAGTCTTCATTACACATCATTATTTTCCAAATGGGTCACTCTCATTGGCTGACTCTCATTATGTCACAGAATGTTCTTTACCTTGTGGATAAAGATAAGGATTTTTATATTTATTAAAAAAAGTAAATCACAAAAACTGACTTTAGCTGGGTTTTCACAGCCAGGGTCACATTTATTTGATATATATTACATTTAATATTGTAATATTATACATATTAAATATAATATTGTTTGTGTGCATATACATATATATATATAATATTTAAATAATATACAACATAATTATAAATAAAACATACATACACACATACATAAAATAAAATATATATATAAACAAGCAGAAATATATTAATATTTCTGAAAAATATAATATATTTCTGCTTGTATTTATATGTTTTTTATTTTGTGTGTGTGTGTGTTTATATATATATATGCACACATACATTAAGTCTCTTCTGCTCAACAAGGCTGCATTTATTTAATCAAAAATACAGTAAAAATTGTGAAATATTATTACAATTTAAAACAGCTGTTTTCTATGTGAGTATCTGTTAAACTGTAATGTATTTCTGTGATGCGCAGCTGTATTTTCAGCATCATTCCTCCAGTCTTCAGTGTCACATGATCTTCAGAAATCAGTATAATATGCTGATCTGCTGCTCAAGAAACATTTCTGATTATTATCAATGTTGAAAACAGTCATGCTGCACAATATTTTTGTGGAAACCGTGATACATTTTATTTTTCAGGATTCACAGATGAACAGAAAGTTTAAAAGAACAGCATTTATTTGAAATATAAATATTTTGTAACAATATGAGGTCTTAACTATCACTTTTTTAAACTTAATTAAACAGTATTAATTTTTTTAATTAACATTTTTTATATTAATACATAAAATCTTATTTTATTTCTTAATTAAAAGTGAAAATAAACTAGCAGCAGGTTGTCCGTGTTACATTATCGTCAGCTGTATGTAGTGTGTAGTGCAGATTGAGTGTAATGTAGTTTAGTCACATTGTGTGCGCATCTCATTGGCTCAGCTGCTGCGGATGACAGATCTCTGACCCTGAGTCTCTCTGAGCGCGTTATACCTTCAGTGCCACGCAAACCAGACCAGACCGAAGACCACCGCTCAATGTGTGCGTTTGACCGATCTTGTCTCGCAGGAACGAGTCCAGCAGCTGGAGAAGCAGCTGAAGGAAATGGAAAAAGAAAAGGATAAAGCGTTGAGTTCCCTCAGACAGGAGAGAAAGGAGCTGCTGCACAAGTCTCAGAGGGTAAGACGTCTTCACGCTGCTTCTGTTCGATGTTTACATCGTCTGAAAGCGTGGAAACAGTCCATCATCTTCTGTAGATGAGGCTCGTGTTCCTCCTTCAGTGTGCGTCTGTGGGATTTATTCACCTGTTTTATGGTGCGTCTGAACACCTCAACCAGTGTTAAATAGAACTAAAAATACAAAAAACTTAAATTTACAGATATAAGATTATAAAATATAAAAAATCAGTTAGTTGCAAAGATACATTTTCTACTAAAGTACGAAAATTACAAAATAAAAACTGAATTGACAAAACAAACTTGAACAAATTAAAATGGAAAAAAAAATCTAAAAATGAAAACTAATGCAAAATATTAGTAAGTACTAAAACAAACAAATGTACTAAAACTTTAAAATTAAAATATATTAAAATGAAAGCTAATGCAAAATATTAATAAGTACTAAAACAAATAAATTTACTAAAACTTTAACTAAAATTAAAATATATTAAAATTAAAACTAATGCAAAATATTAATAAGTACTAAAATACTAAAACAAACAAATTTACTAAAACTTAAACTAAAATTACAATAGAATGTATATATATATATATTAAAATTAAAACTAATGCAAAATATTTATAAGTACTAAGACAAACAAATTTACTAAAGCTTTAACTAAAATTACAATAGAATAAATATATATATATATTAAAATGAAAGCTAATGCAAAATATTAGTAATACTAAAACAGTATAGTAACGATACTAAAATAACACTGTCCTGAGCCAGTGTTGTTATCCTAACTAAAACTAAAAATACTAAAATAAAACATTTGCATTAATTGCAATAAATTGAACGTTAACAGAAATAAACAGAATATTACAAAACTTAAACTTTATTTTAGTTATGTAAATTTTCCAATTTGTATTTAGTTTAAGTTGAAGTACTAAAATTACTACAACTAAAACAGAAATAAAAGCAATACAATTAATGACTAAAACACACAACAAAATTACTAAAACTTCAACTAAAAATTTGAATAGAAAGACAAAAATAAAAATGATTAATAAATACTAAGATAGTATAGTAATGATAATTAGATCACACTTCTCCTAAGCCAGTGTTATTATCATTAACTAAAGCTAAAAATACTAAACAACATTTATGTAAATTGAAATGAAACAGAAATTTAATAGAATATAACAACTTAAACTTATTTTATTTCAGTTAGTTCTAATTTTCATTTAGTTCAAGTTGAAGTGCTAAAAACTCTAAAATGGAAATAAAAATGTATAAAAATTAAATAGACGTTAAAAACTAAGAAAATTACTAGAACTTTAACTAAAATTTTCAAAACTGAAAATACTAAAATATATAACAAAATAATGCAAAATATAAATAAATAATAAACACTGGAAATGCTAAAATATATAACAAAATAATGCAAAATATAAATAAATAATAAAAACTGAAAATGCTAAAATATATAGCAAAATATAAATAAATAATAATAAATAATATAAAACGCAAGCCCATGCTAATTTCACTGTGTTTTGACTCTTAAGTTTGGTGAACTCTGACCTGCAAATGTGAAAACATGTGACTGACAGCAGACTGATGACTTCTTAGCTGAAGTCAAAGAATGCAAAAGAATTGCAGCGTTGCAGTAAAGTGGAGTAGATTGTGTTCTTTTCCATTCTAGATGTGTTATATATTGAGCTGTGTTTTTAAAGCACGGCAAGCGTTGCTTTAGTGCTGGAGGCTTTTATCAGCGTTCTGTTACAGTGATTAGAGATACACTCGAGTGCAGGAAAGAATTAGTGATGAAATAAGGAAGAGAAGGAGAGAGAGAGCGAGAGAGACTGGCTCTCAGAGAAGCGCCGGAGCAGAACAACAGCAGATACCCTGAGAAAACTCTACACACGAGCGGTGAGAGTGTGTGTTTCTGCTCTGTTAAATCACACTCATGCTCAGGATAGAGGCGGAGGGTGAACCGACTCCAGGGTAAGGCTAAAAGCAGCCAATTGTATTAAACATCATAAACCCGTCTTTATAAGCTAGAACCAGACATGGGTGTCATGTAGGCTAAAACATTTTTTAATGGGACTGAATTTGTATTTAACGTGATTACAATTTAATAAAAACGTTAGAAATTGATAATTATGTAACGTTTCCTTTCCACAGTTATTCAAACAGCGAATAAATTATATATTTCACTAACATTGATCTATCGCGAGTTTAAGCACTCTCAAAAAAACAAAACTATCGTTATAATCGCTGAAGCTGTATACACTGTTAAATGAATCTCTTACTTACATTGTACGTACATCTGCGCTTTGTTGTTTATGATGAGAGAATTCGCAAGAGTCCAGAATTCAGTCAGCGAATGCGTGCACACTCAATAAAACTGATTAGTTATATAGAAAGTGACATTTTCACTAACATTGATCTATCGCGAGTTTAAGCACTCTCAAAAAAACAAAACTATCGTTATAATCGCTGAAGCTGTATACACTGTTAAATGAATCTCTTACTTACATTGTACGTACATCTGCGCTTTGTTGTTTATGATGAGAGAATTCGCAAGAGTCCAGAATTCAGTCAGCGAATGCGTGCACACTCAATAAAACTGATTAGTTTGAACGATGACTCATCTGAACGCTTCTGATTGGCCATTGCATTCCTAAGCTCAACAGAATTGTGTGTGACTGGTTAAAATGTGCAACGCTGTAGAAATGCCTAAAATGAAATACGGTGCAACATGAGCAGATCTTAATTTAATGCCGCAATCGACACTGTCTATTCATATTCACTTTGTTAGCAACAGACGTAATAGATTTAATTTGTTTGTGCAGGGGCATTTTTCTCCAATTTAATGGCATTTTTGCCCCAAGTCCCCGTGGCTAGGGGAAGGTACACACTATGGACGCAGGGAACGAACGTGTGCAGGGATTTTCACTGGAGACAGACGCGGTTGAGAGCACAGCAGCTGCTAACGGTGTTGAACTGAATTAGGGCTGATTTAGTGTCTGTAGCAGATAAAGACAGTGTGTGTTCCTCGTAGACGATCATGTGTGTGTGAGTCAGAGAGAGGAGGGACGTTTAACTCCGTCATGTTCACACAGCTGCAGACCTGCTCAACTATTCTTACTAGTGCTGTTCTGTCAGAGATCACTAGTACTAGTGCTCATAGTGACACTAAAGTTGTGTGTGAGTGAGTGAATGAGTGTGTGTGTGTGAGTGAGTTAGTGTGAGTGAGTGTGTGTATGTGAGTGAGTGAGTGTGTGAGAGTGAGTGTGTGTGTGTGTGAGAGTGAGTGAGTGAGTGTGTGAGAGTGAGTGTGTGTGAGAGTGAGTGAGTGAGTGTGTGAGAGTGAGTGTGTGTGAGAGTGAGTGAGTGAGTGTGTGAGAGTGAGTGTGTGTGAGAGTGAGTGAGTGAGTGTGTGAGAGTGAGTGTGTGTGAGAGTGAGTGAGTGAGTGTGTGAGAGTGAGTGTGTGTGAGAGTGAGTGAGTGAGTGTGTGAGAGTGAGTGTGTGTGAGAGTGAGTGAGTGAGTGTGTGAGAGTGAGTGTGTGTGAGAGTGAGTGAGTGAGTGTGTGAGAGTGAGTGTGTGTGAGAGTGAGTGAGTGAGTGTGTGAGAGTGAGTGTGTGTGAGAGTGAGTGAGTGAGTGTGTGAGAGTGAGTGTGTGTGAGAGTGAGTGAGTGAGTGTGTGAGAGTGAGTGTGTGTGAGAGTGAGTGAGTGAGTGTGTGAGAGTGAGTGTGTGTGAGAGTGAGTGAGTGAGTGTGTGAGAGTGAGTGTGTGTGAGAGTGAGTGAGTGAGTGTGTGAGAGTGAGTGTGTGTGAGAGTGAGTGAGTGAGTGTGTGAGAGTGAGTGTGTGTGAGAGTGAGTGAGTGAGTGTGTGAGAGTGAGTGTGTGTGAGAGTGAGTGAGTGAGTGTGTGAGAGTGAGTGTGTGTGAGAGTGAGTGAGTGAGTGTGTGAGAGTGAGTGTGTGTGAGAGTGAGTGAGTGAGTGTGTGAGAGTGAGTGTGTGTGAGAGTGAGTGAGTGAGTGTGTGAGAGTGAGTGTGTGTGAGAGTGAGTGAGTGAGTGTGTGAGAGTGAGTGTGTGTGAGAGTGAGTGAGTGAGTGTGTGAGAGTGAGTGTGTGTGAGAGTGAGTGAGTGAGTGTGTGAGAGTGAGTGTGTGTGAGAGTGAGTGAGTGAGTGTGTGAGAGTGAGTGTGTGTGAGAGTGAGTGAGTGAGTGTGTGAGAGTGAGTGTGTGTGAGAGTGAGTGAGTGAGTGTGTGAGAGTGAGTGTGTGTGTGTGAGAGTGAGTGTGTGAGTGAGTGTGTGTGTGTGAGTGAGTGAGTGTGTGTATGTGTTTTTTGTGTGTGTGTGTATGTTATTTAAATTAACGTAAATGTTTTTTAGTATTTTTAGTTTTGGTTAATGATAATAACGCCTTTAACAAGGTGCTATTCTAGTATCGTTACTATACTATGTTAGTATTTATTAATATTTTACGTTAGTTTTTATTTTATTTCCCATTGAAATTTTAGTTTTTGCAATTTTGTTGCGTTTTAGCCAATCTTTTTAAGTCATGTAATGATTTATTTGTATTTTTATTAGGTTTTGTAAACATTTATTCATTTTTGTTTTGTTTGTATGATTTTTACCCTGTATTTGTGTGTGTTATGTATTTTTATGCTCATCACATTTACAACAGTAACAGTTTGTTGGTTGCCTATGTAGACAGCATGGCAGTGCACTAGCTTTTGGAACAGAGCCTCCTTGTATATCTGTAGTTTAGAGGTTTATTTTGATGATTTATGTTTTGGTTATGTATTATCATAATAGTTTTTAATATTGCAGTATTTTTAGCTGTGTATTTAGCTAATATCATTGCTCAGGATGTGTCACTCACTAAACATCAAGGACATTTGCCTTTGTAGGTTTTGAAAGAGAAGAAGCCGCTCACTGATTGGTCCAACATCACTGGCTCCTCCCCCTGCGTGATGTCACTCAGTCCTCTAACCATTCACAGAGCAGCACAGGTACAGTGTGAGCGTGCATGCGAGGGTTTGACTGAGTTTCAGCGCACTGACTGTGTTCAATATCATACAGGAATCACTGAAGGACTCGTCCAGTTTGCCCCGCAGACGCAGCTCTCACAGGAAGAACACAGACAGACCGCTCTCTGCACAAGGTGAGCAAACCACTGAGCACTCACACAAACACCTGCTAAAATGCGCTTTAACAGGCGTCAGTAAGTCTGTAAGTAGGTCAGACAGCAGCACAATTGTGCAAGACTACGACATGCAAAACAAGCAGCAGCCAAACGTGGCTCGTTAGCTGTGATTGGTCAGTGTTTTGCTCGGGATCGAGGCGTGTCTGTGTTACTGGAACACACTGGAAAAGCCAGTGGAGCCGCTGCCATCGCTTTTATTCCGCTTATACTCCTCAGTCATTTATCTCAATGGGAAATCAATCAAAGACAATCTGGAGAACTCTGTCAAACAGTGTTAATTCAGTTTCACTGAGATAATGTTGTCGTTTTTATTTTTAGATTTTTATTTTCGTTTTCTTTTTAGTTCGTTTTAGTAATGTTGTTGTTGTTTTTTGTCATTTTTATTGTGTATCTTTTTTATTTAATTGTTACTTATTTATTTTTACATTACATTTTTTTATTTTAATGAAATAAAATAAATGTTTAAGATTTTTTGTTTGTTTTATTTGATTTCAGTTAAGGTTTATTTTACAGTATTAATTTAAATACAATTTGATTGATTCAGATTTCTTTCCTAAAATAGACTTTTTTTTTTTTTTCAAAATGTAACAATTTTTAAATATATATGATAGTTCATTCAAAAATTTAAATTCTGTCATCATTTGCACAAAAAAAAGATTGTTTCGGTTTCCATTGACTTCCATTATGTGGTCAAAAATTATGGTCACCAACATTCTTCAGAATATCTCCTTTTGTGTTTAGCAGAAGAACGAAAGTCATACAGGTGATGAGGGGAAAATATATATATATGTATGTATGTATATTATGGGTGTAATGGTTCGAATTACACACATTCGTTGTGCAGCAAGAGAGTCAGTAAGAATCTTATGAGGTAATGATTGAATTATGGGAATTCATTTTATTGCACTTGATGCTGGGAAGGAGGATGGGAAAAATGTTATAGAGAATTTCTATTGAAATGCTGCAGTTGCCAAAGTAAACAGTGTGTGTGTGTGTGTGTGTGTGTGTTGCATACAGGTCAAGACACCCATGTTGTCACATGTGTGTGTTTCTGTTTAGTTCCTGTCTGCCCTTATTTGGTTCAGTTCCTGTTCTCATTTAGTTAATCATCATTTATTCAGATCACCTGTGTTGTATTAATCTTCTCATTAGTTCTCTTTGTTTGGGTTTTGCTTATAAGTCCTCAGTGCTCCCTTAAGCCGTGCTCACACTACAGGAGTTTTAAAATCCTAACCGATTATGAAATCTGGTTGCAGCACACACATAAGGAGAATCTTTGCAGATTACATATTTTGTCCCATCTATTGCTATGGTTATCACTATGTCAATCACTACTACTTCAAGAGCGAATCCAGAATAAATATGCGGATGTCATTCCCGAAACTTTACATTTTAAATGAATTATTGCCTAGAAAGCTCGCAAAGAGCGCTCCTTTTTTAACCACTAAAAACTGTCACTCTTAGTTCATCGTGATCTCACAAAGTTCTGTTATGACCAATGAATCTCACACTGTGCAATTCATATATTATTAACATCGTCGTCTATACACTGTATTATAATGAAAGGATTCGATTGTGATCAGCACAGAACAAAAACTGGTGTGTGTCGCAGTCATTAGGTAAACCAGCATACATTCATGAGGATGATGAAAGTGTTTTAACTTGAGTAAAGCCCCCAGACCCCCTGCTCGTGACTCCCCCTGCCACCCCCGTACACGTTCAAAACTGAGGCGATTTCACTCCAGCGCTTCTCTTTCTCCTTACGGTTGTGATACGTTTTCGACACATTATACAGACAGTCGTGTTACTATCCAATGGAGCCGTACAGCAGCTGTTTTGCGGTTGCGCATTGGCTATTGTGAAAGTACTGACGTAATCATATAGCCGTCATCATCCCGATTTCAATCCTAAATATCAAACATGTTTGATATGATCGGGGCGGCCCCGATTTGTGTGC